ATTTACAAAATATCTTCATGGAACATAATCTTTACTGAATATCCTTATGATTTTTGGCATTAAAGAAAAATCAATAATTTTGACTCGTACAGTGTATTGTTGGCTGTTGCTACAAATATACCCCAGCGACTTAACACTGCTTTTGTGCTCCAGGGTCACATATGTTATGATAAACTAAATGCAATTGGATTTAAATTTAATTCATATAAATGAAAAAAAAATTTTTTAATAAAACTAATTTAATTTCAGCTCATAGCAGAGGCAATGTACTAAAATAACTCCAATCAAATTAGCTGAAACCAATCAATAAAATGAATAAAAAAATATTAAAATAAAAAAAAAAAATCTGTTGATACCCTTGAAAAGGCAAAAGTTTTAGAATTTTTAGTTTTAATTAATTTAGTTTATAATTTGCATTTTAACAATGATTTTCAGCATGAAAATAGCCATTGAAGCTGGAATGGCATTAAAAAACAAAGAAACAAATCTGGAGATGGTATGGATCAAATCCAATGATCAGTGTTTTTCCTCGCCATCTGTTGATGTGTTATTGTATTCGCCTTCTTCACTTTCCCACTCTGATGCTCATAAATATGGCAGATGAGAGGAAGAGTCACATGACTGACAGACAGAAGGAGTGATAGAAAAGCACTTCCTCTTTTTATAGTTGTCAGATGCTCTGAATAGGAAGTAAAACTTCCATAACTACCACCAGCAGAATCATGTCATTCATTTTATTCTTTAAGAGCGTAGATTCTACACATTCCTTGCATTTTATTTTCCCCTGGAGTACACTTAAAACATTTGCCAAGTCATAATTTAATAGTTAATTTAGTTTTTTATGGTCATCCCTAAAATGAAACCGCTGTATCTTTAAGATCTCGACCTGTTAATGAGCTCTGTGATTGGCTCATTAAATGAGCCACAACCCACCAAGCTGCTGAATGCCCAATAGGTGACGATATGCAAATGATATGCTAATAAAGTCATGGTTGTGCTGTCAGCTAGTTTAAAATGTTTGCAGTTTAGTTTGAGCAGGTGATTTGTAAGGAGGAAAGTCTGAATTATGATCCTCACAGTCTACGTTTGACAAACTTATTAATGCTGATATGGTTTTGTGTTGAGTTTTGTATCGTGAGTTTCTACCCAGCATGCATCAGCACTGACCACAGCGCAGGGAACAAACGGCAAGCTAAACAGACGTTTATTATGCGGTGAGAGATGTGAAGCTGAAGAATGAAGTGGTGTGTGTTCGGCGGCCGCTGGCGAGTGAATGAAGAAATCGATGGCTCTTCAGATGTTTGATGCCTTGGGTTTGGGCTCTGAACGCTCGCGGCTGAAGCCTCCAACTCTGACCTGTGTGTAAAGAGGAATAATTCAGTGACGATCAATACGCCGCATTGTTCCGCCCCGGGGATAATATTTCTGTAAAGGGCGGCGGGCCACACACACACACACACACACTGCATGTGAACCTGTGGGTTTATAAGGATGAATGCAAATGTGTGCGTTTAATCTGTGTGTGTGTGTTCCTCCAGGGTGCTGATAAGGATCGGAAAGGTCCGGATGGTCTCAGCGCGTTCGAGGCGGCCGAGAGCGAGGCCATCAAAGATCTACTGAAGTGAGTCGGACGCTGCCGGCAGCGGAGAGGTTCTGACCACAACCACTGGATCCAGCAAACACACACACACACACCTCTCTGTCTCTGCCCGCTGGCTGCTGCAGCTCCTCTAGGTTTCCTTTTGTTTTGTTTTCCTCCATGACCTTTTTATTTTATTTGGGGGAGGTGCTTAATTTCCCCTCTAGTTGATCGGAGTCAGCCATTGGCTGATGGACCTGTCACTCAAGCCTCCCATAAGGACCAATGGGAACGCCTGTCTAACACCACTAAACACGGACTTTAGAGTTCAGACTACAGCGAGTGTATGAATATGATGATCGTGATAACGTGTACATTTATTTTTCCGACTGTTAATTAGAAACGAGTGGTTTGTATAGTTCATAGAGCTGATGAATTTCCCTGCTTCAGCTCAACGACATTCCCGTCGCATTAGATGCTCAAAGAACAAATATTACAGACGCTTCAGTCGTTCTGCTGACGCACACGTTTGCTTTTGTGCCCCTTTGAATTTGTGTTGTTGTGGCAAAAGTAAATGGATTCTCAGCTGCTGTGCGCTTGTAGAGTGTTAAGCAGGTTTGTTGAAGCCTGTCTGTCTCTCTCTCTCTCTGTCTCCAGCAGGACGTGTCTTACTCTGTCTAGCAAACACGTCTCACTCCAGAGATGTCACCCTCTCCAGATTCTCTCACTCTTTTAGGCCGTCTCTCTCTCTCTCTCTCTCTCTCTTTATCTCTCTCTCTCTCCTCTCTCTCTCTCTCTCTCTCTTTATCTCTCTCTCTCATCTCTCTCTCTCTCTCTCTCTCTTTATCTCTCTCTCTCATCTCTCTCTCTCTCTCTCTCTCTTTATCTTTCTCTCTCATTTCTCTCTCTCTCTCTCTCTCTTTATCTTTCTCTCTCATTTCTCTCCTCTCTCTCTCTCTCTCCCCTTTCTCTCTCTCTCTCTTTCTCTCTCATTTCTCTCTCTCTCTCTCTCTCTTTATCTCTCTCTCTCTCTCTTTCTCTTTCTCTCTCTCTCTTTCTCTCTTTATCTCTCTCTCATCTCTCTCTCTCTCTTTATCTTTCTCTCTCATTTCTCTCTCTCTTTATCTCTCTCTCTCTTGTTTCTCTCTCATTTCTCTCTCTCTCTCTTTATCTCTCTCTCTTGTTTCTCTCTCTCTCTGAGGGAAAGGGGGAAAAAGAAAAAAAAACTGATTGATGTTTTCTGGTGATTAAAGAGATGTTGAAAGTCAAAAGTCTCTCTCTCTCTCGTTTCTCTCTCTCTCTCTCTTTCTGCATGATGGTGTTTTAGCTTTTCAGTACAGTCTTCAACTAAAATTCACATCGATTAGCAAATCTACATTTTAAAGATCCATATCTGGCATTGTTGTGAAAAAGTCCGTTTGAAAACAAAAAAAACTACAAATAAAACTATTTCAAATTATCAGTTTGATTTTGTCACATTTGTAAAGTTTCAAATGATGGAGGGTGTTTAAAATTATATATTTATATACATGCATGCATATATATACAGTGGGTACGGAAAGTATTCAGACCCCCTTAAATTTTTCACTCTTTGTTATATTGCAGCCATTTGCTAAAATCATTTAAGTTAATTTTTTTTCCTCATTAATGTACCAAATCCAGGTGTGAAAAACTTGTTGGATCTTTCCCAAAAAGACTCATGGCTGTATTAGATCAAGAGGGTGCTTCTACTAAATACTGAGCATTTTTCAGTTTTTCTTTTTTAATAAATCTGCAAAGATGTCAACAATTCTGTGTTTTTCTGTCAATATGGGGTTGTGTGTGTACATTAATGAGGAAAAATAATTAACTTAAATGATTTTAGCAAATGGCTGCAATATAACAAAGAGTGAAAAATTTAAGGGGGTCTGAATACTTTCCGTACCCACTGTATATATATATATATGTGTGTATATATGTATGTTATTCTAATTAATAATTTATTTATTAGTCTGTGTATGTGTTGATATTTTTAATACATTAATATTATATATTTATATATTAATTATAAGTAAAATTTTTATTCACATATTTTTGTTCAAACCCCCCCCCCCCAAAAAAATAAAATGATATATATATATACAGTGTGTGTGTGTGTGTATATATATATATATATATATAATATTATTACTATTTTAATACATTTATATTAAGTATGCATTTATAAGTTAATTTGTTTACATTTTGACTATACTATTAATATAATTATTCATATATATTTTTATTATTTGAGAGATAGATGGATAGATTGAGAATGTATTAATAATCTATAGCCTATGTGTGTATTACCCCTTAAAAATAATTCTTTTTAGTTATGTTTTTCATATACTTTTTATATTTGCTTTTTTTCCAAGTAGTTTGTTTTCTTCTCTATTTTAATCATTAAAATGACTGGTAAACACTTTACAATGAAGTTAAATTGGCTAAACAAGCTACCATTTACTAATTTACTTTATTTATACTAAAATACTAATTTATATATAATGAAGTAATTTTAACAATCCTTTTATAAATAATAATCTTAATGTTAGTTCACGTTGTGCTAATGCCTTATTGTAAAGTGTTAGATTTGGTGATAAATCAAAAGCTGATGTAAAGACAGTGGAAGTCTCTGAGATGTCTTGACTAATCTAGTGAAGTAACCGCGCGTGTGTGTGTGTGTGTTGGCAGGGATTTTATCATGAACACACTCGTGGTCACGGCGTTTTTTTTCTTTCTTGCTTTAATTAAGTGCTTTTGTTAATTACTGATCCACGCGGCGAGTCTCAGACCTTTGTCACTGTCACAACACAAAGAAATCAATTATTCAGGTGCTGCACAACTTACTGATAAAGTTTAATGCGCCGTCAGCCGCAGCTTTTCACCGACGGTGTGTGAATATAAAACAGCTCGTTTGGGTTTGTCTTTGTCAAGACGGTGAACGCGCTAAAGAATCACGATAAACAAATCAGTCCACGAGTCAACATCAAATCTAAACTGACTCTGTTTACTGTCTTAATACACGTTCCCGTGAGCGAATAATTCACTGATGAGCTTCTGAAGACACTTAAGTGTTGGTCTTCGATATCTTTCATCAAAATGTAATAACTTGCAGCACCTTTGAAACGACCTTCCTCTCCACCTGACTTCAGTTTAATGTTAACCACCAGTAGCCTACACAAATAGCAGTTTGTCATTCTTTTTAATTCCTTATTCAGTATTTTACTTGGAAATGTCTGATTTGGCAGTGAAATGGGAGTTTTTCATCAGACCTTCTAAATGAATCCAATAGAGAATGAACTGCTGCAGTACTTGTGTGTGTGTGAGAGAGAGAGAGAGAGAGAGCGATAGAGAGAGAGTGTGTCAGTGTGTGTGTGTGTGTGAGAGAGAGAGAGTGT